TAACATTTATTTGAGGTAAGATTATGTAGAATCATATTACACTAGGGCCGCTGCAGTAGCCTAGCAGCTAAATTCCTGCTATGAACGCATTGGGATCCCATATGGGCGCCAGTTCATATCCTGGCAGCCCCACTTCTCATCCAGCTCCCTGCTTATAGCCTGGGAAAGCAGTCAAGGACGGCCCAAAGCCTTAAGACCCTGCACCTGCGTGGGAAACCCGAAGAGGCTCCTGGCTCCTGGCTTCACTGCAGCTGTGGTCATTGTGACCACTTGGGGAGTGGATCAGTGAACGAAGATCTTCTTCTCTGTCTCTTCTCCTCTCTATATACCTGACCTTCCAATAAAAAAAAAACCAAAAATAAATCTTTAAAAAAATAAGAATCTTATTATACTAGCCTCTTTAAAAAAAAAAAAAGATTTATTTATTCAATGGAAAGTCAGATATACATAGAGGAGGAGAGACAGAGAGGAAGATCTTCCATCCGATGATTCACTCCCCAAGTGAGCGCAACGACCGATACTATGCCAATCCGAAACCAGGAGCCTCTTCCGGGTCTCCCACGCGGGTACAGGGTCCCAAAGCTTTGGGCCGTCCTTGACTGCTTTCCCAGGCCACAGGCAGGGAGCTGGATGGGAAGTGGAGCTGCCAGGATTAGAACTGGCGCCCATATGGGATCCTGGTGTGTTCAAGGCGAGGACTTTAGCCACTAGGCCACGCCGCCAGGCCCTATACTAGCCTCTTATGTTTCCCTGTAATTTGTTATTATTATTGTTTCTATTGCATAAAAATAAGCTGAAAGAAAACCTAACAAAGGATAAAAAAATTTTACTTGGGTAAGGAAAACAAAGCTTTTTTACTTGCTGTACTACTTTTTTTTTTTTTTTTTTTTTTTTTTATTATTTTTTCATTGGAAAGGCAGATATACAGAGAGGAGAGACAGAGAGGAAGATCTTCCGTCCGATGATTCACTCCCCAAGTGAGCGCAACGGGCCGATACTATGCCAATCCGAAGCCAGGAGCCTCTTCCGGGTCTCCCACGCGGGTGCAGGTTCCCAAAGCTTTGGGCCGTCCTCTGCTGCTTTCCCAGGCCACAGGCAGGGAGCTGGAAGGGAAGCGGGGCTGCCGGGATTAGAACCGGCGCCCATATGGGATCCCGGGCGGCAAGGTGAGGACCTTTAACCACTTGCGCCACCGCGCCGGGCCCTGCTGTACTACATTTTAATATTTTGTAAATATATATTAATTTCAAGATAGAGAAGAATATTCCCAAACAGAAAACACATATATTCAAGTGGTGAACAGAGTCCATGCCGCTGTAAATCACATAAATATCCGACTCCGGAAATCCTGACCAATGGTGACTCGCACCCTTGTTTCTATGGTAAAATACGCTCCAACTTTTGAACAACCAAAAATACTCCTGAACTTCTGCATAAAATATGAATTCACCAATGGAGATAAAAATTGTTCTTCTATAAATAACACTTGAGTGTTTGAGAAAGGATAAAGACAGGGGCTCCATGACAGCTGCAGACCACTTATGCTTTATCCAATTCATAATTGAACGAAAATACACAGGAAGCATAAGGAACTAATGTGAAATTCCTTTCACTATGTTTTTCTACACATCACAATGAACATTTCCTGGAAAGCATTTTAAATTGGTCTAAACAAGAAGGTAATATAACCTATCATAGGCATATTGCATTCCATTACAAAACAAAACTGAAGCTTACATTGTATGTAACAGACAATGGTCAAATAATCTTACCAAACTTCAACTCTGTCATTGGTAAAATCCGCATCCCCTACCATGCTTATCACACATGGCAGGGCGAGCAAGTGGTAACACACACACTAGGATCAAAGCCCAGACTCAGGGGGTATTAGTGTTTAATTAAACTGAAAATGGGAAATTCTACTTCATCACACACAAGGTGAAAAAAGGATGTATATTTAGAAGACAGCAGCTACAATGTAATGAAATTAATAAAATAGTAAAATGCAGGATCTCTTTTAGTGTAGACACGAAAACATTATTCATGTTGAATAATAACATGACAACAGAGTAACTCCTACTTCAACAATTTCAAGACATGAGACGGCTTTCACTTTAAAAAAGTGTAAAACACTGTGCATGCTGCACAAGCATGTAAGTACAATAAATAGAACACAGAAAAATGGCACACCCCTGTTTTAGGCAGCTATATGGGTTGTCTTGTACCTAGGTAAGTGATATAGTGCTGGAAGAAAAGCAGCCAATAGCTGATATACATTCTGGGCTTGGTTAATGCCAAATTTGTGTTAACTATCCCAGCATGCCAGCATAGTTACCTGTTCTTTTTCTTTCTTTTTATTATTATTATTTTTTATTTTGGTCTAAAATATGTGGGAGGGGGCCAGTTGGTTCTTTTGGAAGATGATCTGGCAGCCTACACCAACAGAGAGGCTGTCAATTGCCTGGGGAACGACTTTTGGGAATGTATGGAGTCGGGACTGCCAAAGAAATATTTTACAGGCCTGGAATGACTTCTGGGGAACTTCTGAGGGCTTCTGTGGAATGTGCCACTGCACTCAGAGGTAAGCAAGGTCAAGAGTTGAGATCCAGTGGTTTAGAGAGGAGAAACCAGAAGGCACGTGTAGATCAAGCCGATGCACTTTCCCCTTGGGAGACCTGAGTGGGGCTAGGTGGCATCACCCACCACACTCATGAAAACTGCAGCTGTGGGCCACAGTACCCACAGTGAATGTCTGAGTGATGGATGGCCCATGTAAAACTAGGCCATGACACCAAAGAGCATGCAATGCAACAGAACCAGTTCTGGAGCAGATTCTATAGGGGATATGTGGGCTCACCCATGTGTCAGCAGTACCGACTGGTTTGTACAAGAGCTGTGGGTGGAGACGGGCTAAAATAAACATGCCCATGGAATTCACTGACACTCATAGGAACTGGAGATGGGAGCAAGCCAGACTGGCCCAGGCTGCAGCACCCATAGGTGCACCTGAGAATAGTGTGTATGGGGGCAGGCTGGACATAGCACCTGCTAGTATATGCAAAGGTCAGGCCTAGGGGGACACTATGTCAGGCAGGGGCCTAGCACCCAATGGAACACATGAGAGCTGGGTCTGGGAGAAGGTCTGGTGAGGGAACTTGGGGACCTCTTCTGGGCTGTAGCTCCCACTGGTGAGCTTAACAGCTGGGACTGGGGATGGGCCAAGCCAGGCAGGGCTGCAACACTCCTCAGCATGCGTAGGCTGACACAGGAGGGTGGAGGGCAGAGGGTGGTGGTGGTAGGCAGGTCTAAGCCAGGCCAATCTTTAGCATTCACTGGCATGTGCAGGAGTCAGGACAGGACAGGGTATGGGTGGCACCGGGCTAGGCTACTTTATCTGCCAGTTCACATGAGAGGCAAGGATGGGGAAAAGCTGGACAAGACTAGGCTGCAACACCAGTCGGTGAGAGATGGGACTGTGGGCAGGCCAGGGCGAGCCAGGCTGCAGCACCTGCTGGTGAATGCCAAGGTGAGGTGGGCCATGCCAGACTGGACTGCAACACCTACCAGCAAGTGCAAGACGCAGAGCTGGCAGCTAGCTTGGTAGGGCAAATTCATGGGGGTGGGCCAGGCTGGAGAAGGCAACAGCACTTGTTGGCATGCATGTGTGCCAGGTCTGGGCATGGGTTAGGCCTCAGCCACAGCACCTATGGGATCCATGAGATCCTCTCATGGGATCCACATGAACTGGATGGATGTGGCCAGGCCAGACCAGACTGTTGCACATCCTAGCACATGTAGGAACCAGGGCTAGGGATCATACTGGTGGGGATTATTGGAGGTTGCCCCGACTAGACTGTAGTTCCCACTGCTATGCATAAAGACCAGGTCTGTGGCTGACTTAGTTGGCTAGGTCACAGCACCTGTTGGTTTCTGTGGGAGATGGGCTAGGGTGGAAATGACCAGACAATTGCATTCATCATTATATGCACAGGCAGATGCAAGTGATGGACTCAACTGGACCCACATTGGCTGGTGCATACAAAGTCAGGACTGAGGTCACCTCAGATGAGGTTTCTTGGGGAACTTCACAACTACTCTGTTGAATTCAAACTCCAGCCGTGTGTGGTCCAGCCTTGGAGTGCACGTATCATGACTGGCTTCCTCAGTTGCTGATGTCTACTCAGTGGACAGCATGCCAAATGCACATGGGGGACATGACAGCCATCTCATCTAGGCCAGCAGAATATGTCAAATGCCTTGTCAAAAGGATATGAAGCAGAACAAGTTGGACAATTCTCCTGGCCAAGCTTTGCAGCAAGTGTCTGAGTGTGTGGATGCACTAAGGTGGATTTTCAACTAATAGACTTTGAAAGAATTTTCTCAGGCCTGGAGCAATGAAACCAACAACATCTCAGAACTATTAAAACCACTCAAGTAACATCTTTGGAACATTTTTTCCCATCATCAGGGTGGCACAGGGACTGTAAGATAACATCAGATGGATACTGATGTAGTTTGGCACCCTGCCCTGTGGATACAGGAGAAAACCAAAAACATTGGAAACATTTGTAGCACTCACCTTGCTCCATACGTTGACCCTCCCCACCCTAATCGGATGCCCACACAGGCATAAACCCTTCTCAACAATGTAAAAAACTAAAAATAAAATATAAAAACTAAAAAAAAAAAAAGTTTTAAAAACAAAAAGGTCACAAAAGCAAACAGAGATATTGCAATGGTGACCTGTGTCCCCCAGCAGGTTCTCTGCCATTTCATATATGCTCCATGGAACGGAAACAGTCATTCTTACCTGTCTCAACTCACAGAAAGGGCAACAAGGAGCTCAGCTGGCCAACTAGTTAGTCAAATCAAACCAGCAACGAGTAGAGCTAAAAGCCAGAAAACGAGTCTCAAGCCTACAATATCGCTGTTATAACAGCTTTATAATTAAACAAGTAGCAGAAGGATAAATAAATCCCAAATATCAGAAGACAGCTTACCAAAGTGATGTCTCGTGAAGCTGCAGCGGCACTCATGTGTAAACTGGGCTGTCGCACAGAACTGCTGCAATCAAGGGCTCGGGCAAACGTTCCAACGGCCCTGAGCAAGTCACAAACACAGAAGGGAAAATTAAACACATTCGGGGAATAAGTAAAAAATTGTAACAGAAAAGGCAAAACAAGCTGTTGGATAGTCAAGTGAAATATCAAATAAAAAATGCTTTTGTCTCTCTAAAATTTAACCATTGGCAATTCACATATGGTTCTATACAAATTTTGAAACTTAAAAAAAATTTTTAACAAAATCTCCCATCTGTTGACTCACTTCCCAAATGCCCACCAACTGTTAGGAATGGACAGGCTGAAACAAGAAACTGAGCACTTTAAAGATGTATTTATTTCCACCAGATTACAGAGTGAAGGAGACAGAAAGATCTTCCATCTTCTGGTTCACTTCCCAAATGGCCCCAACAGCTGGAGTTGAGCTGATTCAAAACCAGGAATCAGGAGCTTCTTTCAGGTCTCTGATGTTGGTGCAGAATACCATGCACCTGGGCCATTCTCTGCTGCTTTCTCAGGCCACAAGTAGGGAGCTGGATGGCAAGCTGAGCAGCTGGGACATAAATTGACACCCATATGGGATGCCAAAGCTTTGCAGGTAGGAATTAGCCTACTGATCCACTGTGCCAGACTCAAGGAACTGAGAACTTAATCTGGGTCTTCCAAATACGTAGCATAAACACAAGTGCTTGAGCCATCAACTGCTGCTTCTTAGGGTACACAACTGGAAGTGGAACTGGGACTTGGAACTATTCGGTCTAATAAGGCCCACCTTATGAATCTGCATAATTAAATCAAGAAACAGAACAATCTATATGGGTATAACATAAAGGGACTATAAAGTGCTATGGATTGAACTATTTGGTATTCAAATTTGCTCAAAAAATAAGACAGAAATCAGCACACATTTATTCCTGCAAAGCAGGTACTGATGATTTCTTCTTTCCTACTAATCTTGGGATTGCTTTGCTGTTGCTTTTCTAGTTCCTTCAACTGTAAGGTTAGCTGATTTACTTGATGCCCTTCTAATTTCTTAATGCTTAAGGCATTGACTGAGATGAACTTTCCTCTCAACACTGTTTTGGTTGTGTCCCATAAGTTTTGATATGTTGTGTTGATGCCTTCATTTTTTTCAAGCAATTTTTAAATTGCCCTTTTGATTTCCTCTCTGATCCATTGCTCACATATTATTCAGTCTCCAAAAGAAAACTTCATCTGAGGTGAACCCAGGCCAGATTCTTTTGTGTACTTGCAAGTACAGGGCCTGGTACAGTTCTTCTCCTGAATCAGTTGGTGGTTGCAATTGCTAGGTTGGTTCTGTTTTCAGCCTGTGGGGAGCCATGCAGTCAGGTCAGATGTCATAGGTTTGTGATGAGCACCGCTCCTTGGTTAGCACGGCTATGAGGAGTTTCTGGCTGCAGGGCAAAGTCCAGCAGAATGTCTTTGGTCACCTCATTGCTGCCTCACCCCATTGTATGGACACTCAATCACCTCTCTGATGTTTCATAGAATCCTCCTGAGGGTGGTGTTGTTGTTTTTCTGTAAATGTGAAATGATTCCTGTAACTGGCACAACACCTTAAACTAATCAATCATATTATGATAAAAACATCTTTAGTGACATAAGGCAATGACACACAGCTAAAAGCACACAATAGCAAAATTGAGTTCACAATGTCTCCAAACATTTTGTTATGTGCCCACCTTTGTCCTGACGCATTTTGGTTTCTCACCATGGAAAGTAGAAAGTTTATGGGGCATTCTCTAAAGCGAGGCAAATGTGAATCCTCCCCCCAAAAACGGCTTAAAATTTCTACATTATATTGACACTTGTATTTAGGGAAAGAAAACAGTTTATAAAGATAAAAGTAAGTTTCTTGTAAAGGTCCTCTGTTTGTAGGCTGGCTGAGTTGCCCTGATCCTTTTTACTGCCCTTTAACAAAAGAACAAAAAACAATTGAATCAGCACTAGATGAAGGTGGCGGTAATTAATGCATGATCGATTATAAGATTTAATAAAGAATCTATGTTATATGCTTTCATAAATTCCTTTCATTTACGATCTTTTCTTTTAACTTTGTACTCTCAATATTTTAAGCAATATTAGTGTTTAGTGAAAACTGATTTTGGATATAAGTAAACCACTTGTCCCTATGTAACTGCATGTGCTGCCAACCATGGAGTTCCTGGCTTCAGCCAGGTCACTGCGGGTTTGAATGAGTAATAGCTTGCTGAAAATATTGTCTCTGAAGTAAAATAATAATGTTTTTTAGGATTGATTTTGTAATCATTCTTTTATAATGAAGAAAAAATGAAACAAGTGGATGTTGTGCAAAAAACTTGTAATTTGTGTATAAATAAAAGAGGCAACTTTTCTGAGTTGTCCATTATGAGCATCATGCTATAGTGGTCCAAGCATCCTCTGCCTCTACTTCTTATCTTCTCTTTTTTATTGTCTCACCAATCCACGCATCCTTTGCAAGCTCTCCGGTATCAGCGTTGTCTTCCACTGGAACCAATGGCTGTTGTGGTCCAGCCTGATTCTGCCCAGTACACCCTCAGCCCTCACATAAATCAGTGGGAGCTGCAGCCTAGTCAGAAGGACCCACAAAAACCCCCACCAGACCTTCTCCTGCCCTGGTTCACGTGCTTGCCAATGTGTACAGCAGACTAGTACAGTCTGTCCCACATCCCATTCGGGTTTCGTACACGTTAATGGGTGAAGGCATTTGATAAAATCCAACACCACTTCATGCTGAAAACTCTAAGCAAGATAGGCATAGAAGAAACATTCTACAACACAATCAAAGCAATTTATGAAAAACCTAATGCCAGCATCATACTAAATGGAGAAAGATTGGAAGCCTTCCCACTAAAATCTGGAACTAGACATGGATGCTCACTGTCTCCACTACTCTTCAATATACTATTGGAAATCCTTGTCAGAGCTATTAGGCAAGAAAAAAGAATTGAAGGAATCCAAATTGGAAAAGAGGAAACAAAATTATCTCTATTTGCATGACATGACATCTCTATGACATGATTCTCTACATAGGAGAAACAAAAGACTCAGTTAAAAGACTATGGGTAGGGCCCGGCGCGGTGGTGCAGTGGTTAAAGGTCCTCGCCTTGCACGCCCGGGATTCCAATATGGGCGCCAGTTCTAGCCCGGCAGCCCCGCTTCCCTTCCAGCTCCCTGCCTGTGGCCAGGGAAAGCAGTCCAGAACGGCCCAAAGCTTTGGGACCCTGCACCCGCGCGGGAGACCCGGAAGAGGCTCCTGGCTTCGGATAGGCATAGTATCGGCCGTTGCGGCTCACTTGGGGAGTGAATCATCGGACAGAAGATCTTCCTCTCTGTATCTCCGCCTTTCCAATAAAAAATAATAAAAATAAATCTTTTTTTAAAAAAAAAAAGACTATGGGTAGAGAATCAAGATGGCGGAATAGGGTAAGGACACGTTTAATCAGACGGAGAAACATTTAATCAGGACGAAGCAGAGAGGACATATTTCAGGAAATAGGAAAGGACAGAACAACAGCAGAGGGGTACCTGGAGACTGACACAGGAAAGCAGTGGGCACAGCAGTGTGGTGTTGCAGTGAACGATACTCCAGCGCGGCAATCTGAACTCCAACAGCAGACAAACTCCACCAGCAACCAGGTGGGAAGACACTTTCACTGGGAGCTTGGGAGGTGAACCCAGACAAAGTACTGTCCATCCTGCTGGTCCATTTGATTTGACCAGAAGCAGAGATAGAGCAGCAAATCTCAGGCACTGTGAGAACAGAGTGAATTTCATAGCCCAGTCAGCCCCCTAGAGCTGAATTGGGCGCCATTTTGCCTAAGGAGAAAAGAGCAAGGGAAAGGACTGAGCATGCTCTGAGCAGGGAGTGAGCTCATTTCTGACTCAGAGAACTGCAACGACGTGGCATTCTACGGGTTCCATTCGGGACAGGTCTGGGTAGCCCTCAGATCTGACAGCCAGATCAAGAACTGTTGTGGAAGTACGTCGGGCGCCATTTTGTGCACTGTGGCAATAGCTTTGGGACTGCAGGGACAACACAGAACTGCGCATGTGCTGAGCTCACGAGAGCTTGCTGAGGTCTCACAGGAAAATAATACCGAGTGTGACATTGTACCGGTTAAAATAGGTCCGTGTGGCACCCAGACCTAACGTCCCACAGGTTCCGACAAGATCAGTGCCACCAACAACCTAACTAGATAGGACACTTGGTGTCTCTCTAATCCTGGAACCCACTCCAACTGGAAGTGGGAGAAAGGTTCCAGAGACAACGGTTAAGCCTCAGCACGGTATCACAGGAGATAGAGAGTGGTGAGCCAAGAGCTGGGGCTGTGGAGACCACGGTGGATATCTGACATAAGAACCCAGATCTGGAACTCGTTGGAGGTTGTGGCACAAGCGGCTGCAAGCAAAAAGCTGTGTGCCAACTGCAATAAGTAAAATCGCATTGTAGACTGGTGGGTGACACAGCTTAGAAACCTGCCCCCAAGAAGAAGACTCTGAAGTACAATGATCAAGAGCAAAAGAAGAGACAAAGGCACAATGAATATTACTGAGCACTCCCCTGCAAAGGAGCAAAACCTTATGCCAACCTCAAAGTTAACTGAGGAAGACATCGAGAAAATGGGGGACACAGAATCCATAAGACTCATTTTGAAGATTCTGGTAAAAAATGAGAAGCTCATGCAAGATTTCAAAGAATTTAAGGAAGCAGTAAAGCAAATCAAGGCTGGTATATCAGAAATTAAGAACACAGTAGAGAAAATTACAAGTACAGTGGAGAGTCTCCAAAATAGAATGAAGCAAGCAGAAGAAAAAATCTCAGAATTGGAAGATATCTCCTGTCACCAGGGGAAAGCAAACAAAAAGCTGGAAGCAGAGCTGGATCAGGCCAAAAAAAGTATTCAAGAATTGAAAGACACTATTAAGAGGCCAAATATAAGAGTTATGGGAGTCTTGGAAGGTGCAGAAAGAGAAGCTGAGTTTGCAAATGTATTTAAGGAAATAATCAAGGAAAAT